TTCAGTGAGCAAACCAATGGTGACAATGGGCAAAAAATAAATAAATACACATACGGTAGTAAGGGAAGCAGGAAGGTGAATCAGGACTTAGCAAGGGGAGTCTTAGATATCACACCCTCCTGATAGAGGTTATCATATGAAAATTAACCATGATTAACATACAATGTCATAGTGAGGAGGACTGTCAGGGAAGCATGTTATGTCATCTTCAGTAAAATACAGACTAATTCAGGACACAAACACACCAGCAGCACATGGCTTCTCCTGAGCACAGCTTTCCTGTGGCTCAGGAAATGTCCTCCTTCCATTAGCACAGTCTTGATGTCACCGATGGCTTCCTCCACAAACACTCACACACAGTAAACACACCTCAAATCCAGGGCTGCAAGCACATCCAAACCTGAATTTAGCTTTTTTTTTTATCTAGTGGAAGGTGCTGGAAGGAAATATGAGTCCTGTACAGGGAAGAAAAAAAAAACACTGGGACAGACAAATGAGCAGACATGCTCCAATTAGTCTTGCAATGCCTAAAATAGTCTATGCTGACCAAAATGACTATTAAAAGTTGGCATAAAACAGAAACTACATACTCAAATGAGAGAAAAAAATCTCTGGCATGACTTTATTTTTTCCATCGAGAAATGTTTGGATTGTTGTTGATTGCTAATTGAACAACCTTTTTGGCCAGCCCTTAAAATGAGGAGATATTTATGAGGGATTACAAGGGCACATTTTTTTAATTAGAAAAAAAAAATTGATTCTTTCCTCCCACTGCTTCCTGTCTCCTCTGACACCATTCTATCAAGGGCAAAAATGCAAATAAATAAATAATACCTATTGATAAAATATTAATAAAAAAAAAAGAAAGAAAAATAACCACTAAACATTTTGGAAGTAAGGGCCATCTTCAATAATCTGTGTTGCACAACTCGCTTAGCAAGAGTCAAGTACAAGAAACAAAAATCTGTACAAATCATAAATAGCCCAGCTGCAGTGGTCCGGCTGTGTGAGACACTTCTCAGCCCAGTTATTTGAAAAAAATAATAAGCATCAGGCATCATTGTCCAGACTCTTAAATCAAATTTAAAAAGTCAAAACAGTTTATTTGCATTAAGAATATCTCCCTATTGACTGTATTAATGTAATGATTTTACCTGTTTCACAGCACGTGTAAACCACAAATAAACCTTACAAGTACTATTGGGAAACAAGGTCACGTTCCAAAAAACTGAAATGTGAAACCCTCCTTGAGGAAAAACTAGAGCCTGACATTTTCCCAACACTCACTGGTAGAGAAATAATGGACATATGACACACACAGAGAGAGAGAGAGTGAGAGTGAGAGCTTTTTCCACTCAAACATGTCACACACATTCTCTAAAATTTAAAAAATGTCACTTTTTTTATTAGCATATGAGAACATTCAACCAAGCCTGTCACCAAACTGAAAGAAAAGCCATCATGTCCAGAAATGTGTTGTATCAAATTAATGGACCATTACTCTGCTTTTCTGCTCTAAAATGAACACCAAGGGTGTCATAAAATGAACAACTGAAGGCCATCCGTGTCTCCATTCCTACAAAAACAGAGCTGTAAACTCAGCTAGCTTTGCCATCACAGGCATAAACTACATTTTAAATATAAATTAAAATAGAAAAACAGTTATTTAAAAGTTATTAAAAATTTTAATGATATTATCCAATATTACTGTTAGATTATATACTGGATCTATTTGAACAAATGCAGCCTAATTCATTCGGTCTAGGAATGCCAACATTGTTCTTAGCTCTGTGTGTGTGCGTGTGCGTGTGCGTGTGTGTGTGTGTGTGTGTACCTACTTAACTATATTTTGGGGACAAATTTGTACCCAAAAGTGAGCAAAACCAGACAAATCGATCGAAAAAAATCGCCAAAAACCTCAATTTGGGAACGTCCTCATTTGTAAAACTGGTATAAAAATACAGTAAACAAATGTTTTTTTAAATTGTAAGAATGCAGAAAGTTATCTGTGAGGGGTCTGGGTGGGTTTAGGTGAAAAAGGGTATAACTATATGTATATAAAAACAATAGAAGTCTATGTAATGTCCCCATTTAGATAGCTAAGTAAACGTGTGTGTGTGTGTGCTGAACTGTTACACAGCATTCTTATTCACAACATTTCCTCTGCAAACTGTCATCACCCTCGACTAACTAACTTAAGGAAAACCTATGCTTATGTGTGCTATGATGTCATATCCTGTTGGCTGACTGAAATCTAGATAGCTCAATGGCAGCTGGGAAACAGAATGGATCGGAAATAGATCAGAGGATCTAAAGTTAGAAGCCCCACACACACACACGTCAGCACCTCACACCAACAAAAGCACTGCACTTTTCTGTCTATGATGTAATAGCACACCCGATCTGCACTTTTATCTTTTCAAACTTACTGTACCAGGTAGTTCAACAGAGGTAAAAATGTAAAAAATAAACCACTGCCTACTCTTCAAAGTATGAATTAAATATAAATTAAAGCTAATACAGATGGCTGCAACTGAGATCGCAGAGTAGTGATCTTTTCACCAAAAAAAACCCACATCACACAATAACATTGCGCTTTTACTTACAATTACTAACAGAGTTAATAATTAACTAATTTTATTAATCTTATTACAAAAAAACTGAAATAACCGTTACAGTAGTTTTTGGTACCAAATCAGGTACTGAACCGTGGAATTTTACTGGTATTGGTACCAACCACTGAAATTTTGTTACCGCGACTACACTAACCACAATAGAAATGATCATCCAAAAAGGGCTAAAAATGCAGATAATTAAAAAAATAGCCATATATACTATAAATAGGAACAAATGCTGATTTTGTTTTGGAATCAGGATGTCAGTCATATCAATTTGGCAGAAAATTCTGTGAGCTAAGCCCTATCAAAGGACTGTTCCCTTGTTCTCTGACTACGGCCGCAACAACTAATCAATAGAATTGATAATCAATTATAAAACTATAGGAATATAGGAAATCAATGTGTAGTTTATTGCGTAAATCACCTTAAACTAGGGCTGCACGATAAATCGCATGCGATATTTAACGTGCATCTTGTCAGTAAAGCCATTCTGTAATCAGCGGTAAATCTCCATCACATGCGGGCTTTCACATGGAGCAGCATTAACTACACAGAGCCGTTGTTCACTGACAAGCTGCGCAAAACCACGAACCTATTTTGCGCATGTTTTGCGCAGCTTGTCGGTGAACAACGGCTCTGTGTAGTTAATGCTGCTCCATGTGAAAGCCCGCATGTGATGGAGATTTACCGCTGATTACAGAATGGCTTTACTGACAAGATGCACGTTAAATATCGCATGCGATTTATCGTGCAGCCCTACCTTAAACATGGTAATGTAATTGCTTTAGAGATAAGCTTTATTTCATGAGGTTTCTGCATGCTCATACATTGCAGGCATTGAAAGCAAACACTGTCCTGAACAAAGTTTGGCCCCCAGATTCTGCTTTATTGACCCTGGATTAGATCCTTCTCTGATGGCGAGGGCTGAACTCCATCTGGAGGTTCTGAGGTAACGTTAGAAGCTCTAAAAGAGAAAATATTTGTACGCAGTGTGCTGGCTAAACACTGAAATCTGATCACTGTCTAACACAGGGAAGAGTTTGCAGTCACTGCAGCTCATTACTCTCAAATCACTGTCTCATCTCGGAGTACTCAAATAACCTTTCATTTCATTTACCTTTGGGATTTATTTTTGCATAAAGTTAACCAACAAAGCACCTAATAATGCAATTCTGGCATGACCATTTCTAGTATACTGACACTGTTGTGTTGTTATTTCATGAGGTTTCTGCATGCTCATACATTGCAGGCATTGAAAGCAAACACTGTCCTGAACAAAGTTTGGCCCCCAGATTCTGCTTTATTGACCCTGGATTAGATCCTTCTCTGATGGCGAGGGCTGAACTCCATCTGGAGGTTCTGAGGTAACGTTAGAAGCTCTAAAAGAGAATATATTCGTACGCAGTGTGCTGGCTAAACACTGAAATCTGATCACTGTCTAACACAGGGAAGAGTTTGCAGTCACTGCAGCTCATTACTCTCAAATCACTGTCTCATCTCGGAGTACTCAAATAACCTTTCATTTCATTTACCTTTGGGATTTATTTTTGCATAAAGTTAACCAACAAAGCACCTAATAATACAATTCTGGCATGACCATTTCTAGTATACTGACACTGTTGTGTTTTTCAAATAGGAGGGCAATGATTGTGTTCACCTCATGTGATTATTAGCTGTTAGAAGACCGCAAGGCATGAGATACTCAGCTTCTCTTCTGACTCACTAGAATAAGCACACAACAAGTTGATGGTGCTGTTCAGCCAAGGCAAACGCTATTGCAGTGTGATCAGTGCATTGGCAAAAATGACTTGCGACAGTAAGAGCATCAGTAAGAATGTGTCCAATAAGTAATGTTCTGCATAATATGAGAATTCTGCATAAGATAATTCTTTCATAAACCTCTACTGACCCCAAAATTTTGACTGGTAGTGTAAGAAACTATATTGCTAAAGACTCTTTGGTTCTAGCAACAGCACACATAAGACAGAACACAGACGCATCAAGTTCATGAATTTATCTAAAGTTCTGAGCTTGTTGAGGAGTGGTAATTTCATATCTTCTACTGCCATCTAGTGGTAAACAACAGTAGAGTGTCAGTGACAGTAGAGAAAGATTCTATGTTTTACTTAATTTGCATTCACTCACTCTATCATCTAATTTATGAAGTTGCTGATTATATTGGATAATTTCAAAAAAATTAAAGAGCAACAAGGCACTTCATATATCTTTTGCTAATCTTTTTAGTGGTCCGTTTATGTGTGTAAACAATCAGTAATAGTATAATATGTTGTGTGTAGCATACATGTAATGAAGACTAAATATATTTTTTATATATAGTAATTTTGACATTGTTCTTTTATGTTCTCCTTGTTTTCCTGGAAGGTCTGTTTATGATGGACAGGATCATGGACTCTTCATGGATAAACTGGAGGGGCGGATCCGCAATCATGACCGTGAAATTGAGAAGATGTGCAACCATCACTTCCAAGGCTTTGTGGACTCCATTACTGAGCTGCTCAAAGTGCGCGGAGAAGCCCAGAAACTCAAGGTGCAGAAAGAGGAAATTAGGTTTTGAGAAAACTCTATAAAACCAGAGAGAAGAAAAAAGAAACGTTATAGATATAAAACTAAAAAAGATTTGAACAACTTGTGTGTAATACATCAGAAAAAAATCCTGACTTGTATTGTTTCTGTTTTGATCACTCCCGGATAATTGGTTGTTTTGTCTTCCTCAGTGTCAGGTGACTGAGACCAATCAGAAGCTCCAAAATGACGGCAAGGAGGTGGGTGTCTTGTTCGCTTAGTTTAGTCTTTGATTCAGAACTTGTAACATTAAAAGCAAATATTTTAACATATCAATATCATTAAAATCGGTGGTTACCGCTCCTGTAGCTCCTGACATCAATGGATGAGCTGAGACAGTGCCGTCTGCAGCAGAGGAATATCGCCACCACCATTGACAAACTCACACACTGCTTACCAGGTACAAACATCGTACTTTGCGATTTTAATCCCGTTCGAATCTGCCAAGTCTGTTTTTCTCACACAACCTTTGTAATAATTCCAGAACAAATTACTTACTGTTTTTCGGCAAACTCAGTGATCCTCTGAGAAATCTAATCTTGTCCAAATGCGAATGTCTGTGATTGACAACAATATTTTTTTCACAACACGTTTCCTTGTGTGATTTGACCAACGTGAACTACCATAGACACTCTTACCATAGACACATTTTCAATGTGTTTGTCTCCCGGCAAATAAATAAAAAAAAACAAAACAAAACAAAAAACTAAATCAAAAGCCAGATCGCGTAAACTGTTAAAGGGGTCATATGATGCGATTTCAAGTTTTCCTTTCTCTTTGTAGTGCTACAAGCTGTTCGTGATTCCTGAAGTTGCAAAGACTAAAGTCTCAAAACCAAAGAGATATTCTATATCAAAGTTAAGACTCTGCCACACTCCCCTAAAACAGCTCGTTCTAACATGCCCCCACATATCTACCTCACTATGTGGGAATATTTGCATAATGCACCCAAATGTGCACGCAAAGAAAGAAGGCGTGGTTTCAGTAACCACAGTTAGTGTTGAAGCAGCCATGTCAGGGAGACGCTGTGTGTTTCAGTGTGAAAGCAAAAGCACTTTATTTGGCCTTCCGAAAGTAGATGCATTTAGGAATCTTTAAGATCACTTACAACAGAACACCAATGCATTTTATGGACGACCGTTTCATGAACCTAGGAGAGGAGGTAATTCTGACTTTGCTATGACAATCTGACGCTTTTGAATCAGCGACTGTAAGTATGTTTTGTTACTAGTTTAAGTATTTGCTATTGACTGTTCAAATGCGGAGTTTTGCGCATCGTGTGTGTGTGTGTGTATGAGAGAGAGAGACAGAGAGAGAGACAGCGTCACATCACAGTAGAGTCAGCTGTCTTAACCGCGGCTTGTGTACTGCATCATTACTGTGTCTGTTCCCCTTTCGGGCTTGAACTGATGGTAAAACTAAAGACATTATTTACTGTCTTTACATTTATTTTGAAAGATGAAGCTCGTGATTATGGTAAGGGGAGTTACATTTCCGACGAGTGCTTGCGGTGTTCGGCCAATCACAATGCACTGGGTCAGCTGGCCAATCAAAGCAGACTGCGCTTGTCGGAAGGAGGGACTTTGTAGAAAACTAAGCGTTTGAGAGCGGAGGGGCATATAGGACCTACAATAATGTACAGTATTTGAAAAATAATGTGTTTTTTGAACATTAAAGCATGTCAACATATTCTGTTACACCAAATACACAAAATAATGATCTTTAAAAAAGCATCATATGACCCCTTTAAGATTAGCTACTGTAATATCAGCGTCAGGTAAGATTACTTGCCATCATTTCTGCACTCAATTACATAATGTTTTAATTACATATGTACCTTTTAAACATGGTTTTACTGCAAAAAAACAAAAAAAAAAACGGTCACAAATTAACCATGGTTTTGCTATTCTAAGCATAGCTTAACCATGGTATTTGTAGTAAAACTGTGGTTATACTAATGGTAATCAATCCATTTGCATGCAGAAGAGAGCACAATGAATTATTGAGAGGTTTACTAACACATCAATACATCTACCTGATTTACAAGGTCTGAGAGAGCAAGCCACCATCAAATTAATGCAAGAGATATCTCAGAATGATCATCCTCTTCTTGATCTTTTTGTGCAAAGATGTACAAAACAGACCCTCCCACCTCTGTAATAAACATGGAGATGTTAGTCCTGTCCGAATCGATACGTGGCATCACAGATGTCGGGTGATAAGAACTGTAACTCAAACGTCATTTAGAAAATTAGTCCCATCAGAATAAGGCTTTAGTTACTATTAGTTATATTAACACTACTGTTCAAAAGTTTGTGGTCAGTAAGATTTTTTAGTTTTTTTAAAGAAATTGAAAGCAGGGTAGGTGATTTGGTTCAAAAACATTTTTTGTTATGCTGACTAAAAGTCTCTTCCCATCCCAATATCAATCACTAAGTTAAGTAAGCTTGTCCAATCATATCCCAATTACTATATATATATATATATATATATATATATATATATATACACAGAGGGTACGGAAAGTATTCA